TTCAAATTCATGAAACATAAGGTTTTAATTTACAAGGGATCATCTATATTTCTTTTCCAGGGCCTCACAGAAAGACTACATTTTAAATTCAATACAAATGCCTGTATGTTTTGCAAAAATTTTCTCAGATAATATATACTATTTCCAATTGCATAATAACAACTAATTAAAGCAGAGTCACAAGGTAATTCTTCTGGACTTTTTGAGATACTGAGGTTTGCTTTAGCAAAATCTTCTTTTGTAGTTTAACCTTTGAATTATAAGAAATTTTGGATAATTATTACCCTACCTGGTAGGGTAATTAATCCATGATTCATATTAAGACCTACTGAACATATTCATCTATATGAAATCTTTGAGTCTTATTATGTTTAATATGTAAATTCTAACAAAGTATGACTCTCAAAAGATAAGTTAGCTTAGGATCTTAATATAAATCAGCCAGAAGTGCCTTATGAGATAAAAGTTAATATAATCAAACTGACAATTTCTTTTGATAAGTTGTTTTAAGGAAAGCAATGTATTTTTTTAAAAGATGGACCTTTCAAAGAGAGTCTATAAATTGAGGCTCTGTGTGTAAATGAATCCAAGAACTCTCTCACCAATGTCAAGAACAGATTTGTGCACCAAAAAAGAAAGACATTTAGATTTAGGATTGTAGCAAAAGAATACAGATGTTTTGGAAGATAAGAATTAGCTAATGTAGAAATTTCCGGGTGGGAAATTCAAGAAGAAATGAGGTAGATATCTATGCTGAAACCTTAGATGGAATTACACCTAAGGCATCTCTATAAAAACAACCTAATAGGCTCCTAGTGGTGCCTCCCAGGCAGGAGGGGATCACATAGTCTGAGCTTTCTCAATCACTGTCAGCTCCCTACCCAAATAATACCCTTCACTGGGAAAGAGAAGAACTCAAAGCAGAATAGGCCAAGTGCTCACTTTCCACTCTGGACACACAAAAGTGATACAGAGGTGGGAGTCCAACCTTATAGTTTAGTTTCAAAATATGTTAGGTCTGGTCCAGCAACTCTCAAACTATAACATATGCGATCATACATGAGTGTCAAGCAGAGTACTATTTTATTTTTTGGACCATAAGACACACCTAGGTTTTAGAGGAGGAAAATAGGGGGAAAAATTTTAAGGCAAAAAATGTGGGAAAAATATTTAATACCATAAATAACATAATGTTTCACCAATGTAAATGTAAAGCTAAATTCGGACTATAAAATGCACCTCCCTTTCCTCCCAAATTTGGGGGGTGCATCTTATAGTCCAAAAATACAGTAATGTGTATGTGTGTGTATTACAAGTGCATAGGTACATAAGTATATTCCAAATGTAGGAAATGCTAGGTAAGATAGAGTTTTAAAAGGGTTCTCTAGCTTACTTCTTCTCAGATTGTATTAAGTTAACAGGAGTCCCCAGTAAGGACAAAGAGTATGGCCTTTTCCAAACTTACTGGAACAAATTTACTCCACAGAATACCCTCAGGGGAAGCTACTGTATTTCACAGAATACAACTTGGAAAGTGCTGCTCTAACTCATCAGTGAGTCCCACCACTGATGCTCCTATGATCTCTATCCCAGTGTAGAAAACTATGCAAAACACTGAGGAATTCCACCATCTACACCCAGAAACCACATTTTCTCCTATAATTTTTAGGAGTAGACGTGCTGACTCAATGGAAGTCCATGGACTCTGGTCAGAAACAAGGTCTGCTCTGGCACTTACTGGCTAGAGGACCTTGGACAAATTACTTAAGGTCCATGAGTCTTAGATTCTTCATCTATTAAATGAGTATAATAATTAGTACCTACCTCGAAGCGTGGCCAAGTTGAAGTGACACGATGTGTGCACACAGAGTGTGTGCTAAGCAGAGCGGTGCCCACGGACATGGGCCAGAGTGTGGGGATTGCTGGGGGAGCGGGTATAAGGGGACTGAATGGCAATGGAAAAATATAATAAACACTCTGCAAACAAATAAGTAAATAGGGGAAAAAAGAAAAAAGAGGTCTAAACTGTCCAAAGTTTAGACAGTATAGATTGGGGGTGGGGGTGGTGATAACTTTTTCCAGAGGGAATTTGCATGATTTTTATTACCAAGTTTACGAGGCAATAAATGTAATCTTTTTCTTCCCTAAAACTAAACTAAACTAAAGTAAAATAAAATAAAAGGAAGGCAATGCCAAATACATATGGTAGGTGCTCAGAAATCTAGTCTTAACCAGTGTTGTACACAATCTCTATTTTTTTGACAAAGATGATTCAAGCCTCCCACCCACAAACCAGCAATGAACAACTCACCCAGAAGCTCAAGGTCTGCCAGGTAGAACTTGGGGCACTCACCTGATGGCTTGGGTGCCCATGTGCATTCAACTGTGTGTTATTGGAACCGGATTTTTAGCCCTGGCTACTACTGGCATTCAGCCTAAACACTTTAAAACAAATACATATTTTATGAATTTGCTGAACCCATGGATATTGAAGAACAGTAATATATGTGTCTGAAACAGTGTCATTTTGTTTTAACAGATAAAATATGACTACACATTCTTTAGAGACACCAACCTGCATGGTGATGAAATGCAGTGCGCTGTTCGCATGTAGTTGGGCATCAATGTTGCCCAACTCAAGGGGTTTGCCACCTGGGGTACTGTATTCAAGAACGAAATATGGTTGTTTTTAGGTAGTTGTATTTACTTGCAGTGAGTAAAGGAGACAGGAGATTCACATCCAAAGCTCTGTCTCTCCCAAGGAGGCTTGGCCATTGCTTATATACACTGTTTAGTCACTTACATTTTGATTCCTTCTTTACAGTTGGCTAAACTTATGGCTGGGTTCTGGTCAAGCTCATTCAGTTACAGCTGCATCTGCAAAATACTGTGCTATATTTTACACTTAGCAAGAATAGCATTTAGTAAGAACCCCCCAGAACTTGAGACACTTGTTCTATCTAACAATCATACCCATCTGAAGTAGGGACCTTCATGTGTAGACTCTTCAAGCTTTTCAGTGACAGTGTGTCTCAGGTTCTCTTCTTTCAAAGTCATCTTAAAGCTATCCTCTGCTTATGTGGGGGAAAAGTGGCCTTTAGGAGCTCCCTATTGTCTGTATAATTAAGCCCAAACTTTTTTTTAGCATGGACTAAAACTTTCTCCTGCCTTCCCCAAAATATCTCAACCACACTCCTCCCCACCCCCAACTCCTTTGAGCAATTTAAGCATTTCAGAGCTCCTCTTGTCTTTGGCCCCTTTCACCCACCTCTCCATCAGAACCCTTCCCACCCCTTCCACAGGCTGGCTGCTTCCCTTGTGATCCTTCAGCTTCAGGTGGGCCTTAAGATAACTGATCTACACACGGGTGCCATCACAGTATTCTGCTCTCCTGCAGGGCTGGGCCATGTTTTATTTTTGTACTCTTCTACCTAACAGTGCTTATAGCATAAAAGGTGCTTGGTAAGAAGTCATTAGACAAATACATGGATAAACAAAAGATAGAAAATAATTGTAGCTCTGACCAGTGTGGCTTGGTTGGAGCATCATCCAGTAACTGAATGGTTGTGGGCTTGATTCCCAGTCAGAGCAAACCTAAGTGTTGGGTTCTGATCCCTGGACAGCACATTTGGGAGGCAACCAACTGATGCTTCTCTTCAATCGATGTGTCTATCTCTCCCTTCCCCTCTCTCTCTGAAAATCAATGAAAACAACAACAAAAAGTCATCGGCTGAGGAGAAAGAAAGACGGAAGGAAGGAAATAATTGTAGAAAAGTATGCAGGGAGAGTCTAATCATAGGCCAACAAATCCTACATAGAATTAATAACACAATGGCACTTTACTGATAAAACTGAGTCATGTAGTTAAACCATCGTTTGAAAAAAAATCTTACACAGAAAACGAGAGGAATGTAAGCCAGTTGAGACTGATTGTGTTGCTTGAAATTAGGAAGAGGATGTGCAGTCTGCTTTCAGCTTTCATACTGCGTTGTTTTGTTCTCTAAACTGGCATCCACAGCCCTGCAGACAGACGGAAGACCACGCCTCTGGCACCTACTGGCCCAGGTCTGACACTCCCAGAAGTTCCCTTAGAGCTATGGGTGTCCTGGGCTTTGGGAGGCTCCTAGTAGCTACCCAGGGCCCAGGCCCTGGGCCAGCAGAGCTCGGAGCCACCTCTAGGGTCTTGGGTAGCAAGGATGCTGGGGGCCCGAGGAAGGGGGCGGGGTTCTTCAGTGTTTCTCTCTAAATATTTAATGGGTAGTTTCCCTGTGCTTCTGTTTCTGACTTAATTAAAGAGGAGGAAAAGGAGTTGACTACAAGAATAGTAGCAGACGACGCATCTGGCTTGAATTTTAAAGTTCCATCAAAGTTTTTGTTGTTCTTGTTTTTGCTTTTTTGTTTGTGTTTGTTTTTATTTTACAGTGAACCCATGAACTTCTCCTTGGGGGAAATGGAGCATCCACAGTCCGCCAAGCCAAGCCTGAGAGCTCTAGGGTTTATTAAGAGTAATATTTTAAACAAAACCTCGACAGACATAAACTCAAAAGAAGCCGTGCGCTCCTTAAGTCAAAGGCATCTGATTGCCTGGCTCGGTTTGCCCTGTGTAACCAGCGTTAAGAGCAGGATTTTTAAACATGAAAATGCAGAAAAGAAAAGAAAAGCTAAGTCCTGCGGTCCGCCGACTCCTATTCATTATCTCCAGCAGCATATGGGACCATTCTCCTACTTGTCCTCTTCCTTTCTTCCTCAAAAGCAAAAGCAACCGAGCCTGTCCCGCTACGCAGCAAACCCAGTCTTTGTGCCTGAGCAGTGCTTCTGCCACCACTACTACTTCCCCCGCCTCCTGCCTCCTCCTCCACCCGCCCGCTGCGGACTTTCAGGGAAGAAGGCGGCGGGCGCCCTTTGCGCGGGGAAGCCAGAGCCGCGATTGGGCGACGGTCCCTGAGCCTCCAGTTTCGCGTCGGTTTCAAGGCTCCTCCCTTCTGGTGAAAGACAGACTGCGGGGCGCCTGGAAACCGGTCCGAGGGCGCGCGAGGGAGAGGAGAGCTAGTGAGTTGAGGGATAGACACAAATGGTCAGGCGGCGGAGAAGGAGGCGGAGGCGTAGGGGGGAGCGGAGGCCGCCGGGTTGCCGAGAGTTGCGCGCTCTATCGCGCCGCGGCCACTAGCGCGGCGCCGCCAGCCGGGAGCCAGCAAGCCCAGGGCCAGGAAGGCGGGACGCGACCCCGGCGCGCCCGAGCCACCCGGGCTCTCCCCGCCGCCCGCGCTTCATGAATCGCAAGTTTCCGCGGCAGCGGCGGCTGCAGGACGCGGAGCGGGAGCCGGAGGAGCGGGTAGAGCGCGGCACAGGCTCGACGGAGGGAACCGGCGCGGAGGAGATATCCCCGGACGCAGGGGGAGCCGCCGCCCGCCGCGCCACCTCCAGCCCCAGCCGAGCGGTGCAAAGAAAGGAGCCGAGAAAGTATGGCTGAGGAGGAGGCGCCTAAAAAGTCCCGGGCCGCCGCCGCTGCTGGCGGGTGCTGGGAACTTTGTGCCGGGTCTCTCCTGGCTGGGCTGGCGGCAGAGGGGAGTTGGGACACTGGCCACCGCCGCCGCTGCCCCCCAGCTGACTCCCGGCGCTTTGCGCGCTGGCTACTGCTGCTGCTTTGGCTACTGGAGGCTCCTCTGCTGCTTGGGGTCCGGGCTCAGGCAGCCGGCCAGGGGCCCGGGCCGGGTCAGCAGCCCCCGCCGCCGCCGCCTCAGCAGCAACAGAGCGGGCAGCAGTACAACGGGGAGCGGGGCATCTCCATCCCGGACCACGGCTATTGCCAGCCCATCTCCATCCCGCTGTGCACGGACATCGCGTACAACCAGACCATTATGCCCAACCTGCTGGGCCACACAAACCAGGAGGATGCGGGCCTTGAGGTGCACCAGTTCTACCCGCTGGTGAAGGTGCAGTGCTCAGCCGAACTCAAGTTCTTCTTGTGCTCCATGTACGCGCCAGTGTGCACCGTGCTGGAGCAGGCTCTGCCGCCCTGCCGCTCCCTCTGCGAGCGCGCGCGCCAGGGCTGCGAGGCGCTCATGAACAAGTTTGGCTTTCAGTGGCCCGACACGCTCAAGTGCGAGAAGTTCCCGGTGCACGGCGCCGGCGAGCTGTGCGTGGGCCAGAACACCTCGGACAAGGGCACTCCGACACCCTCCCTGCTGCCGGAGTTCTGGACCAGCAACCCCCAGCACGGCGGCGGGGGACACCGCGGAGGCGGCTTCCCGGGGGGCGCTGGAGCATCGGAGAGAGGCAAATTCTCCTGCCCGCGCGCCCTCAAGGTGCCTTCCTACCTCAATTACCACTTCCTGGGGGAGAAGGACTGCGGCGCGCCCTGTGAGCCGACCAAGGTATACGGGCTCATGTACTTTGGGCCCGAAGAGCTGCGCTTCTCGCGCACCTGGATCGGCATCTGGTCAGTGCTGTGCTGCGCCTCCACGCTCTTCACCGTGCTCACGTACTTGGTGGACATGCGGCGCTTCAGCTATCCGGAGCGGCCCATCATCTTTTTGTCGGGCTGTTACACGGCCGTGGCCGTGGCCTACATCGCCGGCTTCCTGCTGGAGGACCGGGTGGTGTGTAACGACAAGTTCTCCGAGGATGGGGCGCGCACAGTGGCGCAGGGCACCAAGAAAGAAGGCTGCACCATCCTCTTCATGATGCTTTACTTCTTCAGCATGGCCAGCTCCATCTGGTGGGTGATCCTGTCGCTTACCTGGTTCCTGGCGGCCGGCATGAAGTGGGGCCACGAAGCCATCGAGGCTAACTCGCAGTATTTTCACTTGGCTGCCTGGGCTGTGCCGGCAATAAAGACCATCACCATTCTGGCGCTGGGCCAGGTGGATGGCGACGTGCTCAGCGGGGTGTGCTTCGTGGGGCTTAACAACGTGGACGCGCTGCGTGGCTTCGTCCTGGCGCCTCTCTTCGTGTACCTGTTCATCGGTACGTCCTTTCTGCTGGCCGGCTTCGTGTCACTCTTTCGCATTCGCACCATCATGAAGCATGATGGCACCAAGACCGAGAAGCTGGAGAAGCTCATGGTGCGCATCGGCGTCTTCAGCGTGCTTTACACCGTGCCAGCCACCATAGTCATTGCCTGCTACTTCTACGAGCAGGCCTTCCGGGACCAGTGGGAGCGCAGCTGGGTGGCCCAGAGCTGCAAGACCTACGCCATCCCCTGTCCCCACCTCCAGGCCGGTGGAGGGGCTCCACCACACCCGCCCATGAGCCCCGACTTCACAGTCTTCATGATCAAGTATCTTATGACGCTGATCGTGGGCATCACGTCCGGCTTCTGGATCTGGTCCGGCAAGACCCTTAACTCCTGGAGGAAGTTCTACACCAGACTCACCAACAGCAAACAGGGGGAGACCACCGTCTGAGACCTGGGGGGCTTGCTCAGCCCATTCCCAGCCCTCAGCCCGTCCCCAGCTACCCGAAAACCTTCCCCCATGGAATGCTGACCAAGCCTGGCTACTACAGGCTTCCTCACTAGACACTTTCGCAGGCTTCTTTTAACAGCGTAACTCCTGCAAAAGCTTCCGTCCCTGGGGGCAAACGGACTTGAGGGCCCAATTTCTTGAGGGGGGGATGGACCGACCTCTCTCGCTGGTACCAGCACTGTATGCTTTTATGATTGTAAATAGCCTGTGTAAGATTTTTGTAAGTATATTTGTATTTAAATGACTGATCTTGCGTTTTCTTTTCCTTTCCTTTTTTTTTCTTGATTTAACTTGAATTATTTAGGGCGGTCTAACCATTTGAGGCTTTCCCTTCTTTCTCTTTGTGGAGTACTGCCGAGACCCGCGGAGCGCACCCGCTGGGTGCTCCCGGGCCCCCGCTGGGTGCTCCCAGCGCCCCTCCCTGCAGCGCTGGGGTGGTACGTCTGGGACTGCGCTGTTCGGGTCACTTCCCACCTCCTCTTTCTGCTCCCTCCCTTCCCCTTCTTGCTAGAGTTTGGAGATCTTAAGGTCCTGACCGTTCAAGCTTTCGAGTCTGCCTTTGTTCGGGGCCCAGATTTGTCCCTTTGACTTGCCGAAGCTGATTTTTTCACTGTCGAGAACCTTACCCCTAGCTTCTAGGAGGCTGGTGGTTTGCGGTCACCGAAAGTCCCAGACTCCCGCCCTCCGCGCTGGCCTCCAAAGCCCAGACACTCCCTCCTTCCACCTAAGTCGGTTAGAGGGTGAGTGGGATAAGCAATGCCAAACTTTTTAAAGTCTGATTTTTGGTGGATGAGCTCATTTCATTCTCTAGCGTCTAAAACCTGGTATGAGTTTGGCCAGCGTCATGGAAAGATGTAGTTACTGAGATTTGGGAAGAGGCACGAAGCTTTGTGTGGGTTGGAAGAGACTGAAGATGGGGGTTATAAAATGTTCATTCTAATTGTACACCGATGCCTGGCAACTTGCCTTCAGGACTGAGTCCGCGTTTAGATTTTAGCGTTCTGTAAAATGGAAACGTTAAGGTCACCTACAAAGCTTTGTCAAGGAGTTGATCTTTGCCCTCCTTTACAGAACAGCAAAACGTAAACTAAATATGAAAACTTGAAGGAGATTTCAGTGTAAATGGGCTTCCTCAAAATGCAGTGGTACTTTACGATTTTTTAGTGAAATAATAATTAGACATATATCAGAAACTTTAAAATGTAAAAGTTGTATTTTCAACGTATTACGATTCTTACTCGGCAACATCTTCTGAGGGAGGACTAATCCACATCATTAGTAACAACCTGGTAAAGGAGGTGGAATAATGGATGGGATTAGCTCCTGAAATAAACAAAATATGGGCATACATGCTCAAATGTCAGCAGGTCTGCTGCATCAAACCCTGTGCACTCCTTTTTTGGATATACAGAAATGTATCCAATGTAAATCTTTCAAAGCCATTTTAAAATCTTCACTTTAGCTCTCTGTGAAAAAGACAAGAAAAGCAATCCTCCTGGTTGTATTGTAAACTTTAAGAGTTTATCAAAATGCCGGTACCTAGGACCTAAATTTATCTATGTCTGTCATACCCTAAAATGACAATGGTCTTTGAATTTGGTATGCATTTATTCTGTTCACTATCACAAAATCATTTATATTTATAGAGGAATAGAAGTTTATATATATATATAATACCATATTTTTAATTTCGCAAATAAAAAAATCAAAGTTTTGTACAAAATTATATGGTTTTTGTGCCTGAAAATAATAGAGTTGAAACTGTCCAAAGTATGAACTATCTTTATATTTTATAGTGTCTAGTGGCCAGTCTCACCATATATAAATTCAGGAATTCAATGAAAAAGCCTGTCTTTAAACCTCCATGCCATCTTTCTGAGCAGTTATCCTATTTGCATTGTGATTGACATTGTGAACTCCCTAGGAAAGATATGCATTCATGATAGTAACTATAAAATAGAAGTTTGAAAATTATTTCTTTACTCAAAGAAGAGTATTAAAGAGAAAACTCTAATTTTAATACTAAAGCTTTTTTTCTTTCAACGGGGAAATTTACATGACTTTTTATAATATGGAGGTTTATTTTTAAATCATCAGCCATCCTCTTTATCACAATTTTTATGAAGTATTATCTTATATTTTCCATAATCTTGGATATTCTAAAACCATACATAGGTATTCAGTAAATGGTTAACTGACTGTGTTTATAAGCATTTTAAACAGCACTTGGGTATATAAGACTGTTTTGTTGTTTGCTTCTGAGGACTCCATTTTTATATTGTTCAAGGAACCTTCTCCAGAGGCAATATCTAGTTGATCTACTCTCAGTCAGAATTTATGTATATAAATACATATAAATATATAATATGTGTATACACAAATACGTATATACATATATGTACACATTAATTTTTAAAAAAATAGAGATGCAAAGTTTACTTATACACTTTAAAATATGGAAATAAGGTTATAAGAAGTGGAAAATACCAGATAGAAAACCTCAAATACCTTTGAAAAACAAGTCTCTTATTTCTTTACAGTCTAAAAATATCTTGATTACATTTTCCATGAAAACACTTCGTGGTAAAATGACAAGGGGCTAAAATGACCATTGATACAATAGAGTTACTTTCATGGTTATAAGGTAATAGTCTATAAGTCATTGTTATTTATTTTAAGGCATATTCAAAACGTAAATCTAATTGAAAACATAGCATTCAGTTTTAAGTGCCAAGATGCAGTTTCATGTTTTGTTCTTTGTTACATTAATCTACTATAGTAGATAGATGAGAAGGTTTTATCACATAGACACACAAAAAATAGCAATTCTTACAACAAATTAAAACATGTCTCCTCACAAGATAATTCAATCAGATAATATCTGGGGGGAAAATTTAAGATTATTATTCTCTATCCAAGGAATAAATATAAAGCATTCTTATTGTATGTGTCCTTAATGTTATGTAACTATAAATTTGATGCAGAAAAATTTGATAATGCTGGAATTAAATACCTTTAAAAGATATTTAAGTCGACACCAGGCTTTGTGTTTAGGAAACAACTAATTTAAAGTTATGTAGAATATAGAAAGCCAGTGTATTAATTTGTTTCTTTAAATACTGGTGGCAAAATAAGACTTTCCTGGAAAATTGTAAAGCTGCTGGGAATATGGTTCCATTAACATGCTGTTTCCATGATAAACCTATTTTCAGATGATTTGGTTTGCTTACTTTATTTTTTTTTGAACCAGCTATCAATGGGAGTCAGTTTTCTCCCTTACGGTGTGCTTGATTCAGTTTTTATACATAGTACAAAGCCTTCTGATGCTCTTTTTTTAAAAAGCCATTTTTAACTTAAACATTGTGGGGGCAGAAAGTCGTATTAATCTCAAAGCCAGCCAATATCAAGCATAGCAAAACAGCTGGACCAGAGATTTTTCATCTTGGCTGGGGTAGTCACTTGTCAGCCTGAGTTTACAGACCTGGCCCTTTTGTCTCCAGTGAGCACTGACTCCTGTTATAGTTGCATCATTTCTGAAGTCCAGCATTTAACTAGGAAAGGAGACCACAATGAAGAGTTTGGTGGCCAATTAAGAGAAAAAAAATTGCCTAAACCACAAACCATTTCTGGACCTGGATGGCTTCCAATCACTCCCTGATATCATGTTTCAATCTTGGTATACTTTTGGGTTTTTTAAAAGTTGCCTTGTATTTAGTGTGCGTGTGTGGGTTCAACTCCAGCTACTCTAGCTTTTATTGCTTTCTAATCCATCTATTGGCTGTAGGCCACATTTTGTGTAATGTACATGCAGTTAATTGAAACCAGTGGTGTGACACTGGGTATCTCGGATACATTTCTGATTATAATATTCTGTGTAACCGGGGCCTGAGAGATAAGAATCCAAATGTGGTCATTACCTATGTCTTAAGGTGGACACTAATTTAGTTATTGAGTACTTCACAGAATATGCTAACTTCAAAATTTTGCAGGATTAACCTATAGGAGCCAAAATAAGACATGGATTACATATAAGAACTCTATAGTCACATTACTAAAAAGAAATGGCAATACTGTGTGAAATTCATGGCTCTTATCTTAAGGCCCTTACATTTGACATGGGGGTCTTACAAGGGTAGTGCCAAACAAGGTGCAGTTTATTTTGGTGACTCCTAAGATTAACATCAATATTTTGAACTTTTGGCGGGTACCAGTAGAATTTCAAAAATAGTACTTGAGCTTCAGTCATGACTCAGAATTCCCTTAAGCTTTCTGGGCTTAAATATTACTGTTCACTTTGGTCGTACCTTTTGACAATGGGTATGTTAAACCATAACAATTACAGTGACAAGCTTGTTTGGAACCTGGAGATTAAAAGACAGATAGACTCTAGACTAATTTTGTTAAGGTTTATCATGACTTGTGGTGACAGGTCTCTCTGTTCCATTATAGAATCAAGTTTCTGTTTAAACATAATAACACTTCCTTTGTGTAATTTTACTTACGAGTTGGCCTGGGACCCTAATAGCAGGTCAAATCAAAGGGTTCCTCACAGAAATCTTTCTCGTGCAATAGATAGTCTCAAGTGCAATCTACAAGTACATCCTATAATGGACATAGATGGAACATCCTAAAGGTTATCATCAGTTTTATGTCAAGCAGATTTGTAGATTGCTTTAAAAAATGAGCATTTTCCAGTAGAGATTTCTCTAAAACATTTTATGTTAAGATAGTGATATTCTAAAGAGACATATTTGGGGGTGATAAAATCAAGTTATGTTTTCTAAAGGGATCATTAATACACTAGTTAACTGGCATATTTGTATAATAACTCTAAAAGCAAAGTATTGGAATAGCATTGATTTGAACATTTTACACATGCATTCTATTTTTTAAAATAAAATTGGCTTGAAGACAGTTTTAAGTTTTAAAATGTATCATATGCATATTTCACATAAGAGCTTTCATTCGCAATATTGACTTTCAAAACATGTTCATAGGAACACAGTGATGAACATGAAAAGGAACCACTACTGCTGCTTTGAGGTAGTTCTCTTTGGCCTGGATTTCTTTTCTTTTCTTTTTAAAAACCAAGTATCCTCTAATTTGTGAGTATCTCCATGTTTCAGATGTCAGTACCTGTTTGAATTAAATTTGCAGGGGAATAACTGCAGGATCCCCCCATAGACAAAGTGTGGCCTTCATTTCTTTTCAAGTTGGCAGTGCGTCCTTGCTGAAACGAAGTGCTCGGAGACAGACTGTTCTCTCGCCCTTGGAAATGCTCATCTTCACAAACTGGCGGCAAATACCTGGAAGTCATACAGGCTAGTTAAATGCATATTCCAAATGCCCAGTGCTACTTTTATAAGGATTTTTTTTTCTTTAAAGGTAGATTTGGAGACCATTCTTGACCTTGTAGTTCCAACTCTTGAAAAACATTCTTTAAAAGTTAACTTTAATAAATACTCTATCCAAAACTTACAGAGGGGGCACACTACCCACCTTTGCCCTGGGGCCAAGGGGTTTGTTTCTTGGGATGTGGAACTCAGTGGTAAAACAAGGGATGTTATGGGCAAACTGGGACGGTGGGCCGCCCTGTTAATGATTAAATTGTTCTTCCAAGATAGAGTAAAAGCTTGCAGGTTGGTGACTGGTTCAGCATTAACAGTGTTCCACTGTAGCCTTAGTGGATCAAAAGCCAATGAACCTAACTCTTTGTAGCTGGGCTTCACAGCCAGAACCGATCAACAGAAGCTGAGTGGAAGGCGAAGGTGCAATGGAACAAACCACAATGATATCTTGGCCATTCTGCTTGAGCCTTCTGCCTCCTGTAGATAAAGGAATCTGAGCTCTGTTCCAGCTCCTTACGAAATCAGGGTAAGGAGGTAGTTTTATAAAAGTCTCTCAAAAGTATTCCCTTGGAATGCATAGAGTTTTTTTTAATTGATGTTACAGTTTGTCAAATTGTGAGGAACTGTCTGGTTTTTGCATGTGTTTATGTTTTCCTGCATAATAATGCAACCCATGGGAATGAGATTACAAACTCAAGCAGGGATTTACTCCAAATGGCTGTTTATCAACATAAACTTTTTCTCAGAGGTGAGTTAAGTTTAGCACCCAAACTTTTCCCAAAATGAAAAGTTCTGTCTACAGGAAAGAAAAAAGAAGTAGACAAGTAGGGTTCCGTGATCACTGGTCATCATCAGATGTAGCGTGTGGTCCGGGTGCTCCAGGGCCTTCAGGTTTCCATTGCATCAAACTCTTCGGTCAGAATTGTCCAACCCTTTCTATGCTAAGTTCATCCTTCTTGTCATTCTTATCTGTCCATTCCTGTCATCCTTCTCGGAAATGCACATAAAATTGCACTGCCTTTGTGGTTGAAACATACTATTCTTGCTATCTCTTAATTCAACTCGATGTAAAGGGATTAAAAAAGATGTGCAGATAATGTAATTATTGCAGGGGGTACCCACACATTAGACCATATAGCTACGGTTTTCATTTGGCAATATTCAAACACCTTTTTGATTGTCATGGCTGGGGGTGTGGTTACTAAGGCCATTTAGTCAATGGAGACCAGGACAGGTCACAGGGCAGCCCCCGACAGCAAAGAATTATCTGACCCAAAGTGCCAAAGTTGAAAAACTCTGCTCTAGAAGAATACTTAAAATTTTGAAAAATGCATATTTGAACAATGAAATATCTTAAATTTATAAAATAGAATTGAGGAAAATACGGATTTATTATGCCTACAGCGTGGGCTTTACTTTTGACCTGCAAATTTCATTTTAAATTGATGAGTAGCTAATGATATTGCAGACCTGTCTGTATCTTCCTCTCCCTGAGCTGCTATAACAATGTATCATAGACCGGGGAGCTTGAACAACAGACACTTGTCTCTCATAGTTCGGAGACCTGGGAAGTCCAAGATCAAAGTGCCAGCAGAGACAGTTTCTAATCCTGCTTCCAGGATTCTAGACAACCACCTTCTCATGGTAGGCTCTCATGGGGGTAAGTGGGAGAAAGAGAGAAAGATATCTTCAAGTAAGGGTAATAATTCCATCATGAGGGTCCTATACTCATGACCAAATCTAAGCCTCATTATTTCCCTAAGACCTCACCTCCAAATACCATCACATTTGGGGTTAGGACTTCAACATAAGAATCTAGGGGAAAGCAAACATTCAACCCTTAACAGTCAATCATATAAATGTGCTTTTATTATGTAGATCTAGACAGGGACATGGAACATCATAATTTCAGTGGAAATCAATCTGTAAATAACAAATTTATTGAAAAATCTCTTAAAGCTGTCAGTATTGTGCTATTATACTTTATATTCCATAATTTCATTTTCTTTCACACATTTCCCTGCATCACTGAAGGTGCTATGGTGCAGAGGAATTACTCTGGCTAGGGCGCCAGAAAACCTGGGTTCCAGCATTGGCTAGGGAAACGAGGTTAAGGTACTTTGGATGAGCCTGACCTGTAGGGTTTCATGAGTCTAGTGGAGGCACTAATGACAAAATGAATGAGAAAGCCCTTTTGTAAACAGTAAAGCTCTGTACAAAAGTGAGGGTTTTTACTATCATCCGCATTGAGCTAATTAAGTAAGGAGGAGACTGAAGCACCTTAAGGGCTCCTCCTCAGCTTTGACTGCCGCACTTCCCCCAGCTTTTAGAAAAGGATCTTCTAGTTGCTGAAGGTGCCCAAGGTGATGGGGGCCTTTCTGCAGTTTTCCTGGCCACCCACCCCCTGTCTTTCTTACTGCACTTGGGTTGTCTTGAACACATGTAGGATTTTCCCATTTTTTATGAGGCTCTGGTTTAATTTAATAAATCAATATGCAGTGCAGCTACTGTGCCATTTGAGAGAGGTTGGGCCCTGGTTAGAAGAAAGGAGGCTCTTGTTGCAAGGGTTGGTTTGGGGCAAGAATTCTGCTCCAGGAGTGTTTTAAGGTCAGAGGAGTGGGAGGGCTATGATGATGTTCTAGGTACAAATGCGGCAAATTCACAAGCAGACACTTCCAATTGAGAGCCCCCACAGAGTGGCCCAGCTGTCCTAGGCTCCATTTGTCCATTTGCTCATTGAGGAGTTGAGGCAGAAGAAAGAAGCAGCCTGGGCAGGGGGAGGGGGGTGGTCTTTCTGTCTTGAAGGCAGACACATTGAGGTCATTTGTCATTGAAAGGGATAAGAAAGAAAGGGGTATAATGAAAACC